CCAGTTGTTTTTGGAAATAATGAGCACAGGTTCTGTCCATAGATACAAATTGTTGCAAGAACCTTCATGGATCAGCTTCAAACAGATTGATTATCATGAGACATTGTGTCTGATGTGTTTGGTTCAGGATGTGTTTGGTTCAACCCAAGGAGCTGGTACTTTCTTCAGTGCCAAAGTTCCTACAATAATGGAATGTATGCTCTCCTGAGAAGTGCACTTGCCAGTCGATGATCGCCATATTGTGGATTCTCTGTGTCGTTTCTGATGTTGCTGATGTGACAGGCCTTCCAGGAAGAGCATCCTCCTGCCACACTCCGCTGTGCATTTCTTTATGCTGGTATCCTTAGTGTTAAACTCAAATCTTCAGTGATGGCTTGGTGAGTTATGTCCTTTCTCTGCAAGGACAGGATCACTACATATTCAGTTTGCCCATTGTTTAAAGGTCATTGGTCCCTGTTAGCTTATCTGACTTGTCACTGAAGAACAAATAGTTTAACTGACTTGAGCATTTGTGGCTACACATCCATGACATCATGTAATTATTATGTAGTTCCAACTGAGGGACTTAAAATTTATGATTGCAAAGGCCCGAATCTGACTATATCATTTCAGCAGAATATTATTAAATCCTTGTTTGTCTTTTGAAACAAAGATTTTCAAACAATAATAAAGGGCTTAAACTTCTGTCAACATAACAGTAGTTGAGACTGGTCAGGGCAAAACTACATCTTAATTAACAAAGTTAATTTAGTGTTGTAAAATGTATTTTTATTCTTCTTTCGCTATAGAATGAGACTTCATGTGTATAAGATATTAATAAATGCTTGCTAAAATCTACCTGCCATATTTCGAATTGTAACAGCTCTGCTTAAGTGTACCGTTCCAATGTTTACATCAGTCTGAAAGAAATCTTTATACTCGCACAGTTACAAAGCCTGAAAGTCTTTGACAGTCCTTAATTTCTAGCATATACTTTTTACTGAAGTACAGCTTTGGGAATGCATATCAAATATGCAAACGTTGAGTTTTTACACTCTTTCCAAAGCAAAAACATAACTTCATTGGCATGTCAATATTTGAAATAGCCTGTTAACAAATCTGTTTTTGGTATGCGTTGTTATTCCATAATAAAAGTATTTTTGTTTTACCAAATTGTAAATGTATATCTCTGTATTATAGTATTTATGAGTCATTCATTAATGCAGTTATATTAGTCAACATGTGATTAAATATACTTTATTTTGTGTTCTGGTAGTTCATTCAGAGGTTAATTAAATTTGCGTTTTCACTAAACAATCACCAATGTGATGACAAGGAGGATTGTATACTGAATCGCAGGTAGTGCATGGAAGAGGTAGAACATGCCAGCGTGAGTTATTATGCAACAATTCACACACAACAACATTGATGACATCATTTAAAATGTACACAGAGTAAATAAATATTAATGTTTTCATTCGCCCTGTACAGTTACCTATATTACATGGGATCGGGTGGTCAGGCTTCCTGACTTAGTTGTCACATGTCATCGCATCCCAATCGTGTAGATCGATGTCATGCTGTTGATCACTGGATTGTCTGGTCTACACATGTTTAATTAGAGACAGCCTCTATATAACTGGAATATTGCTGAGTGTGGGGTTAAACAACAAACGAACAAAACCAAAACATATCCTTACATAAATTTCCGTTTCGACATTTGACCTAAGTTTGTTCATGGTCGTTACTTTATTACATGTGGTTTTAATAAGCTCCCCATTTGTCAAGTTTCTAAGCACCCATAGTTATTATTACATCGAATACAATGTGTTGCCTGGGTGATACATTTGAGCACATCATGACCTTTATCAAAGATTGTAATTGCTACAGAAACTGTTCTCATTTAATTAATCCATGGTAAACTTTTGATTGATGATTCTTTTAATTATGACATTTGATTCAACGAACTGAGGGCTGAGCTAATTGTGTACGAGGTGAGCAGTGGTGTAAACATTAGCGTAAGAGCATCTGGTTTGTTTTGTTTTGCAGCGTGTCTCTTATTACCAAATGGCCGACCGCGGGCGCATACATTTGATTCATGTGAGTAAGAGGTTCGGCTAAGTCGCAAGCCGTATTTTCGGCAATAACTTTACTCACGACAGCCAAAGCGTGTGCGTTTTGCCCCTATACTCTCCCTTGAAGCTTTGATAATAGCATGGAGCATGTCCTCTCGTTTAACAAACTAATATATTGGGCTTTTATCACGTTCCTTCATATTGAGCGCAAGAGATGTCTGTGCATGAAAGTGAGGCTGACTTCTGCATGGTGTGCACTATAGCATAGAAGTTATTTATTAGAAATCTTCCTAATTGTTTTGCATATTCCTGTTTGAAATATTCATTGATTTCACTAATATTTCATAAACAGCTCCCCGCTAGGTTACTAATGGCTTTGGTACCTGATTGGTCCTTGAGAATTTGTTATAGCTGTGGTATAACCATGGTCCCGCATTGGTCCGACTTCCATCTTGCGCTATTTCAGCCCTGCATTTCTACCCATTCCTTTTGCAGCTTTTTGTATCCTATACCTTTTCTAGAAGTGACAAATGCACAAATTATACCATTAGCGACTGACATTTTCTTCTTTCAAGTGAATGATCAATTTACTATTTTCTTTAATATTCTTGTTCTTGCATTTAAAGAACTCTATCTTAAATGTATAAATTTTCATTTGTTGTAAGTAAATTTGATATTGTTGTATATATTGTGGACATGATTGTGAGTATATTTTGTTGGAATATGATTGTTACTTGTTTTAATTGCAATTAAGTATGGAAATGTATTCACAGTGATTGGGAAAGAATGTTTCTCTCTTGGTGTATGTAATATTTTTTTTGTAAATTTAAAAAAAACAAAAACATGCATGAATTATACCTGGCGTATGACTTTCCCAATCACTGTATATAAGCATGTCTATAGGAGTTTCCGTGAATTTATTTACAGATAATTCATTAGAAGCAAGCGCTCAATGTTGGATATGATTAACTTAAGTTGCATTATTTCATATAGTTTGATTATTCAGTTTTGAAGGAAAACGCAAATAATATAGGCTGAGATACCTTATAGGTCTCCCGCAACTGTCTCACATATTTTCTCACATGGTTACGTGTTTTTAACTGTGTTCTTTTTTTCAGTGTACATATGCAAGATTTTCTTTTTATATTAACAGAAATTAACTACAGGTATCCATGGAAATTATTTGTGTCTAATCATCCCTACACAACATTGGCTATTACAAGCTTTGATGTGGTCTGAAGGAAAACAAATGTTTCAATCAATATTCCGCTCTTTGAGTGTTTTTATGTTTTGAAGACATTCAAAGAATAAATATGATTTAAGATCCCGAAAAATAATTACATGTAATGGATGGTCTGACTCGTTATTAATTGATTCTGTGTTATTTGATTGTCAAGGCACAAGTAGATTTGAATGGATCAGTTGTCAGAAATAGAAGAAAATTTGTCACGTCAGAAATTACAGAACTAATTAGCGATAATGATGGATTCCGAATCGTTTCCAATGGTTACAAGCCAGATAAACACAATAATTTTACCGACTTATCATGAAGGGTTGGCACATAGTTAATAAATCATATGAAGAACTATTTCTGTCGTCATTTAGGAATTATTCAGTCGGAGCAAGTTGTTATTGATACAGGAATTGCGGAGTCAAAGACGTCCTCTGTCAAGCTTGGTCTCATAATATTGATTATGCTAATCTCCTAAAGACTGCTTTTCACAAGTGTCATTAAGTGTTACGAGGAACAAATAAACCTTCAGCTAATGAGTTGGGATTAGGAATGCCTTTTTGTGGAGAGTCTTGGGATGTCCTGTAGTGGAATGGTACCTGGTCAAACGGAGCAGTGCACCTTGTTATCACCTTGCTGGGATGTTATTGTCGTATCATCCTGATCATTGGTTATGCAACAGTAACAGCTGGATGAACACTTTGAGCAGTATTACCATGGACATTTTAATGCTGGAAGACTTACATCATGGATCTTCACTGACAAGGGAGAACTGATACTTTATAAAAGTGACATGCTTCAGTTATTCTGTTTAACAAGAAAGGATGTTCTATTTCTATCTCATACATGAGGCCCTGGGTTATGTCAAAAGCAACAAGTAAAGACATTTTGATCTTTTTTAGGACTTCTGGATGTTGTGTTATAGACACAGGAGATAGTTGTTATGTTCTCTTTGCTTCAAATGATGATTCTCAGTGTGCTGAAAACAGTTGTTGGCAAAATTTAAGGAACTCTTGTCCCGATGTTGGAATGTTCTAATGCAGTTAAGGTGTTTAACAACAAGGAGCTTCCATAAAGTCTATGAACAGCCATTACGAGCTAATATGTCAGAATGTTTTAAATTGCTCTGTTTGAAACAGAACATTTTAAATGAGATTTTGAAGTAGTTCATTATGGGATATTTTGACAGGCTGTTCCCACAAACATAAAGACTTCAACAAGATGGGATGTACTGGTGTCATTGGGAAGAGAATCTTCACTGTACACTTCAGAAGACATGTCTTAGATTTTCAGTTTCATGAAATCAAGGAATAATAACCTTGTGCCAGGAATTGAACATTGGAATATAACATTGGATAGTGTGTAGGTCAAACCTGTTTTTGGAAGGAAAAGTATCTCTGGATTATGAAACAAGAAATCACGAAGAAATGTGTTTAGATCTAGCATATTGCTAGAAAGCCTGAGATGTGTACGACTGTGTATATCATCATTTCAGTAACCTCCAGTGTGTTCCTTTTCAAGGAGATGCATTTTGTCTAACTAAAACAAATTGCTTAACAACACAGGATTATATTGTATCAATGTCTTTCTTTCAAACAAGATGGAACTGGTATTATCGACTTGTTCTGTTTGCAGACAATGTGACTTGCATTGTCACGGTTGACTTAGTCTAACAAAACAGATTAAAATTTAAACGGGACATTCTTGTGCCATAACGTGGTACATTCATCTGTGAGATAGTTGAGAGGGTTCGTCACCTTCTGAGATACTGTGTTGTGTGTAACAAGTTAACAATGCATAGAAGACCCAACGAAGACTCTTTAATGGAACGATTCTTTGGCCTTGTTGCCATAGCAGCGCAAAGAATTATGGGTAAATAATGTGATTCTATTATGTAGTTTGTCATGTTAGCCTGACCTGCAACATATTCAAGTGAATTCTTCAACCAAAACCATGTAAACCACGGTAATTGGTTAACATGTAATTTCAAGATAATGTTGCATTTAGTTGTGTCAGTTTTACTTGTATTAAGTGTAGGGTGGAATCACCAGTGATTTCCAATCTCAGAATAATATGCAAGAACAAAAGTATGATGTCATCATAATGGTCTTATTGTAAGAGGCATCCCCATGACAGCGATGTGATGTAGAGTTTCATGGTAGTTTCAGATTTTCTTGACTGTAGGCTGAATCGACTGCCTACCGTAAACAACAGTAAAATATCATTTATTGGATGCCAGTATGGTAGTTGTTACTTTGACTAAAAGAAATAAAAGTGGGAAAGTGTATCTGAAGAATTAAGATAATAATGAAAATGCTGTTTGAGAGGATAATGAATACATCCATTATACACAACTCTTCGATGGTGGCGAACAAGATATGGTTATTTCATTGTGATGTCATTTATAGGAGTATTATGGTTTTAGAATACGTTTGCAGGGTTTAGTCTTGTATCATTTTGATAATCCAGTATTCAAGTGTATACTTTCTTTTGGCAGTTTACTGTATGTTGACATATTTCTGAATCACTTGATTCATGCGGTCGACGGTCACACTGCATGTTTTTGAAACCTGAAATTAATGCTCTTGTATTTAGTCTTATTTTCAGCTTATAAGGAGAGTTCTTCACTGAGCTGGCATCAGGCATGGTCAGGAGACTTCTGTGAAGTTAGGCAAGCACCTGTATTCGTATCTCATCTCCTTCCAACTGATTCTGTTCTCAGGGCCCACAGTAAACCATGTGAAGGCAAACTTCATGAACCAAGCTTCAAGTGATTCCGAGCTGGCCAAACATCGAATGAAACCATTTGTTGACAGCCATACCAATTTGACAGATGGAGTGAAGAGTGAGAGCAAAGATGGGATGTTGTCATCAGCTGCCAAGGGCATCTTGTTGCCGGGCGTGGCCAACATGAAACAGAATGTCTCCGAGAAAGTCGCTCAGGTAAGCTTTTGTCTCGATTCTCACTTCCAGAAATGAAACTGTTATCCGTAACCAGGGCTCCAGATAAGGGTCGTATCGGCGCATGTACGGATATAAAATATGCAAGATACGGTAGGAAATGGTTTAGAAAGCGTAGAAGATACGCACCACAGCAATGGTGTATGGTCTTAGAATCATTTACAGACGTATTTATCTGAAAAAGCATTGTTTTATTGTTTATTGACCTGTTTACACAAGAGTAGCAATGTTGTGGTGCATATATGAAACGAAACACAAGATTACTGATATGCCATTAATTTCCATTCAGTACTCTAAATGTACTCTTAAGGTTTTCCAGTACTCCTATATTGAATAAATAAGGAGTACGTACTCCTAATCATGAAAAATTATCTGGAGCCCTGCGTAACCTTTCTCTATTTGTAAAACATGCTGTTGTCTTGAGAAATGATAGGTTATCCAAGTAATTTCATAATTGCCATTGTATTATGTATTATAGTTATGTATATGTATGTAACTCCTTGTATTTGGGCTGGAGGCCTTGAATACAATAAACTTGACTTGACTTGACTTTGTTTCATTTTCCCAATTTAAAGTATCTGCACCTGACTGGGTGTGTTGTCATACATTGTTTCTGTTGATTCTATCTCCAGGCAATCATTCACTCTGTCAAGCCAATTACATTGAAGGGTAGTCACCAGGTAGCAACATTTTGATCATTTTGTTCATCATTCTCAGTTTTAATCATTATTTACAAACCCACAACAATATATAATCTTGATAACAATTAGTTGGAAAACAAACCCAAATAGACATTTTAGATATTTTTCATTTTCATTTTACTACTTGCTTCTTAATACAATGGTCTGGTACAAATGTAAAGTATTTTTTAAATATCAGTATTTAAACATGTTTTTATTTATTTGTTCATCATTTTTTGCTTTAATCATTTTAACCATTATCAGGTACGAGTCAAATTAACATTTTACATTTATTTTATCACTATAATGCTCCTTAGTACAAGTGTGTGATACAAATATATTGCATTTATTTTAGATCAGTATGCAAACTTTTTAGTGCATTATGAATGATCATTATTCAGACATTGGAATTCGTTTCATGTTTTCCTTTCTTCATAAAATGAAAGTCATTCATGAAATCTCGACGTTCTGCCTTTATACCTGGGTTATCTCCTCCTTGTTGATAGAAACAGTGTTATACAGCTCTTATACAGCTCTTAATCCATGATCATGTGATATACACTCGTATTCACCCTGGGCGAGGAGACAGGTGTTGAAATACAGTATCAGTATGCCTTACTCATGTGATATATCATATGATCATGTTCTTTTTCAACATAAAAGATTTTTACGAGGCATTTATCTCTTTTCTTTTCTTTTTCAATTTTATGTGCTCTTGTGCCTTTTCAACCTGAACATACAAGGTGGGTTTTTGATGTTTTTAATTTCCTTAGCATTAGAACTTTTCAAATTGGGCCTTGGAATATGTTTTCTCTCAACTGTAGTTTTGATGTATGGATCATTTATCATCATATTCCAAGCAGTTTTGTAACATAAAACTTGAGTTGGTCTTTTTTCTTTGTTCCCCTTATTAGGCACCAAGATTGCATTAAATCACCTTATCTTAAAAGTGCTTTCTTACAATGTTGACAAATCTGTAGCCAATCAGTTAAATTTGTATTATGACCATATATGACTGTAGATAAGCCTAATTTAGTAGTTATCAATATTTGTACATGGCAACAGTTACTGTACTTGAAGTATATACTCCTCTAGGGAAGGAACAGTATGTTCTTACCACGGTATGGTACATATTGTGGTACAAGGCCTTCGGTTCGGTCCAGTGCATTAGGTATGATCATAATGCAGAAAATTGACAACAAGAGCCAAACCTTACATTGTTTAATAACATGGAAAAAATTAACCATAATCTTTCTTATTTTGAATGAACAAAACTGTCATTTTATGACTAGATAGAAATGACGATATGAAAACCGAAAATGAAAACCGAAAATACTGAATTTGGGGATTTTACCGGGTTTACCGAACCGAAGGCAAAATACAGTGGTTCTACGAAGACTGTGGTATACCATTTCATGCCTGTGCTCAGTGCACTATTGACAGGTCGACAGTCAGATATATGTTTGTCAGCACCATACCGTGCTCGTGAGTTTCACCAAAGTGATAAATGTCTTAGACCTGAAGCACTGTGGTCTTTCATCCCACATTAATCTGATAAAACTGGAATACTGTTCAAAGCCACATCTAACTTAACCCTGAATCACTCACCCAGCAGCTAGATGTGGATGAAGGCATTCTAGGAGTCTGTCTCCTGACCTCAGGGTGTATATCAAGCTCAAATCTAGAATGCCTCAATGATGGGAAGTTACATTCTGTTCTGGGCTGTGTTCAGATTTACTTTTGATTTTACAGATAGTAGAAAACAGAACTTTATTTCTGGGACTAAATAACACTATGGCATTTTTGTTAAATAAGAGTTATGTACAACTGGACATGGGAGCATTTCCAATATGAACAGTACCATGTTTGTGATGAATTTGATAACACCCTTCATCTGGGGTCTCTGCAGTAGTCTAGTGGTTAAATAGAGAATCTCACCCAAGTGTCTTCTGATATCAATTATATCAACACGAGTTGATAGTTACAAATATCCAAGGCTTGCCGAGGATATTTGTACCTTTATCAATGAGTGTTGATATACTGACTGACTGACTGAGTTTAGTTTTACGCCGCTTTTAGCAATATTCCAGCAATATCACGGCAGGGGACACCAGAAAATGGGCTTAACACATTGTGCCCATGTGGGGAATCGAACCCGGGTCTTCGGCGTGACGAGCCAACGCTTTAACCATTAGGCTACCCCACCGCCCCAGTGTTGATATAATTGATATCAGTAGACACTAGGGTGAGATTCTATTTATCATTAAAAAATCACTTTTCATTAGTTTTCAATGAAAAATGTACATCTCTCAAAACAGTACTACCATTAGATTTGCAGTGCAGCGATGTCATAGCATTGTGACGTCATCAAGTTGATGACGTCATAGCATTATCAGGGCATTGTACAAAATCTACTGTTAAAACGATATCTCCCAGGAGATATCATATAATCTCACACAAGTGATATTTCCTGTGGAACACAGTTTTGGATGATAAAGTGTTCACTCATCATGTCAAAGATCCAGGTTTTATTATTACCCACATGGGTACAATGTGTAAAGCCCATTTCTGGCATCTCCCGCAGTGATATGGCTGGAATTTTGCTAAAAGCGGCGTAAAACTAAACTCAATCACTCACTCACTCATCATCAGCATCTTAGATGTTGTCATTGTTGCCGACAGTGTATGCCCTTTCCTTGTGCTGAGAATTTCAGTGACATGTTGATTCAAGTCTCAGGTAATCAGGAATCATGACAGTTAAGAACCTATTTGTCTCCGGCCCCTGTGTTTGTCAAGAAGACTTGTAGTCCGTCCTGCTCTTTCTGGCTTGTTCAGTGGTCAGATAGCAAGAAGAACGTTCATATTACAGTTGGACGTCTATTTTCATCAAGAACTGATGGCATATTACCAAAACAGTCGCTCACTTAATTGATATTGTTTCTCTGGAATCATGAGTGTTGGCTTTTAACCTGCTTTACAATCTGCAAGACTGGCCAATCTCACCACTCTTCCACATCCTTCTGATCGAGTTTTGTCCCACGATTAATTTTCTGTCTCAAGAATAAAGACAAATTGCTATTAATCTGGTTTGATGGTAATGGACGTAAGGATTGATAGGAGCTTGGCGTCCATGCCAGACAAATTAGGCAGCGCATGTTTTGACTTATCACGCAATGTGTGCATGATTAAAGGTATGATTGAATTCATTTCAGAAATATCCTTTTTCTTAAGAAGTTGTTTGGAAATTGTGATGTTAGAACTTTCTCTTCATTACAGAAGTGAATTTGCATTTATCATAAAACTTCGATTTTCATAGTTATATGAAGAGGATGTCTTTGTGGGAAATACCTGCTCACCAAGCAATATGGCGCTCAGTCATATGCAGGCCTATTAATAGATAACTTTGGTGATTATGAGGACACCTTTTATACATGGTGTTGTATTTATAGTCACATCAAATTGTACAAAATGTTAGCTGTTCATAATGTTTTTGAGAAAAAAAACATTTGAATCAAAATATATATTATTAACATATTTTCAGGGTGCCTGAAATTCAGACAACTCATAAAACAAAATGAAGAAAAGAAAAGCCTTTTTATAATCTTATTATATGTTTATAAGTATATCATAATTATGTCGAAATATAGGACCTAGACTAGCCAGCTTTGAGAGGAACTGTGTACAACATCAACTCAGCCTTGTAGCCAAGACATGTAGAGTCATGGCAACAAGCCAGCTATGATGTTGTATTGTGGTAGAGATGTTCCAACATTCACTAATTTCAGATTATGTCACATTACAAAGTTGTACAGTATTTATGATATCCTGAACTGGGATATTTAATAATGGAATTATTACTCCCCTGCAAACAGGGGCTGTAGATCAGCTTCTGAGAAATGTTTAGATAAATTTCTGTTGTTCTATGTATTTTCATATGTATTTCCTTGCTGAAATTGATGGTTGAAAAATCCTGTATTTTGGTAATGGTGAAATGTTTTAGTATCCACAGAAAGTGACAGATGTAATTATGGAATGTTTGACCTTTCTGTTCTACTCAGTACATTGTCACTCCTCTGATGTTAACATGGCATAATAAGTATATTCTATGCCTATCAAGAATTGGGAACAATATTCATGGAAGGATTATGACACTATCCAATAATAAAGCATACAATTTTATTGATAACAGCTTCTTGTTTTCCATAGAGTTGTTCGTCATATGAGCGAAATATTCTCGAGCACGACGTAAAACCCAATTTCACCTCCATAGAGTTGTATGCTTTATTATTGACTCACCAACTT